ACAAACCAGAGCTTCAGGTCCCTAAGTTAGGGCTTGGCTTTGCTGTCTCATGTTCTGTTCTTCTCATAGCACCCAGTCCGAGGCTGTAAATTCAGCAAATACATACTTCAAGGAACCAACCTGAATGCCAATCTTATACCAATAACTAGACTGTATCCCTCCAAAATATCCATGTCATGAAAGACAAAGAAAGGCTGAGGACATGTTCCCATTCCAGAACAAAGGCAGTCCACTGCTTGATGCCAGATTAGATCCTGAACCAGGAAAAAAAAATGCTTGAAACAGCATTGCTGGACAGCTAGAAGCCTAAGGCCTAAACTACAAATGAGCAATTATTATACTGACCAGACACTACATATTCCTGAACTTGGTAACTATCCAATGGACACAACACAAAAGCATGGTGAAGGTAAAGTTGGAATGCAGTGCAAAATACTTCAAATAGTTTGTGGGTTGGGGATGGAGACAAGGGAAAGACTGAAGGGGTAAAACAAATACAGAAAAAAAATGTCCTTTGTTCTAGCCTCAATGCTACTGATTTTGCAATTATTTCAAAAGAAAAAGTATACTGAGCCATGGCAAACCCTGTTCGGGAGGCTGATGTGGGATTGAAAGCTCTAGACTAGTCAGGGCTCTAGGCCAGGCCAGCTTATGTAGCAAGGAGACCCTGTTTCCCCTCCCCCACCTCTCCCAAAGAGAAGTGATACATGTTCAGAGAGGGAGGTGTGCAGCAGGTGGGACACTGTCTTGAGAGTCACAAGCAAACAGGAAGTGTGACACATACACCAGTGGAGGGGCTTGCCCTCAGAAGTGGTTCTAGTCACTTACCTCCAGCCTTCCCTCAAGAAGCTGCGAAGAGGACATTTGAAGATGAGGACCACAGGGAGGTGGGGATAGGCAGAGCCAAGGCCTCCTGGAATAGCCTTTATCAGAGGATAGTATCATCTCATGGCGGAGGGTGCTGATCTCAGAGGGAGGCTAAGGACTGAGCCCAAGGCTACATGGAGGCCTAAGTTGCTGAGCTGGGAGCCAGACATGACTGTCTCCTCCAGAACTAGAATCCTGAACTACTACAAACCCCTCTCTTCAGATCATGAGTTTTTGAGAATTTACAAAGCAAAAATACAGACTGGCACCCTTACACTCCCAGGTTCCAAGAGCTGAACAATATCCACCTCCAAATTGCTGTATTCAAGTTCTGAACCTCAACGTGACTAGACTTAGAAATTTGGCTTTGAGAAGGTCACTAAGTTTAAGAGTTCAAAAGGGTGCCCCAGCCCTAATGCCATAGGGTTGGTGATATGAGAAGGGTTACAGGCACACAGAGGAGAAAGGCCATGTGAGCAAGCTAAAGAGAGAACTCTCTCATGCTAGAACCCTCTCCTCTTCTAGCTTCTAGGTCTGTAAGAAAATAAATGTCTATTGTTTAAACCATCCATTCTGTGGTATCTTGTCATAGCTGCCCAAGCAAACTAGTGCCTTAGGCTATCTTTTCAAATAGCTCCCAAATTAAAGACTGAACATGCATGTTCACACATGAACATGTCACAGTGCATGTGTGGAAGTCAAAAGACAACCTGCAGGAATCTTTCTTTCCATCATGTAGATCCTAGAGAATAAGCTCAGGCCATTAAGTATGGTGACAAGAGCCTTTACCCACTGAGTCATCTCACTGGTCCTTCTTGTCCCTTCACGACTGAAGGGATGGAAGGGAGCTTGCACTGGCTGTGGGATCAGGTGGGTCTCTTGATGATCTCATCTCCTTCCTATTGGATACTCCCAATGCTCCTTGCAAAGCATAGCAGGAGTCCCTCCCATCTCAACTACCATGTGCAGAGAAGAAACTTGAGGTCTCCATTTAATGGACAAGGAAACTAAGGCCCGGAGAGGGACATGTTCCGTCTTCCAGCTGTGAATCTGAGAGAGAATGAGTCCCCCACCACCTGCCTCAGCTCCAGTCATCGTCCTATTTGCCTTTCTTCAAAGACATTCTACCTGAGCTAAGAATGCTGCCAACTGCTCATGGCACTCAGGGGAACCTTTGTATATAAGCAGGAAAGGGACACGTCATTGGACCCAACACTAGGATAGGGAGAGGCTGTTTTTATCCATGGTGGGAGGCTCTTGCTCTCTGACCTACACTGGTCCTCACTGGTCCAGGGGTAGAGGTGTTTGAGGTCACACAAAGTCTCAACTACTGAAGAATCCGAGCATCCAGAAAGGGCCTCTGGAACTGCTTAAACAGATGACTAGTGACTTTGGTACACTGAGTATCACAGGCATTGGAGTTTATCAATAGCATAGTAAAATACCACTTTCATGCTTTACCATGCTTAATGGTAAATAAAATATAGAAAAAAAATGTTCTTTGTTCTATCCTGAACGTTACTGTGATTTTGCAATTATTTCAAAAGAAAAATTTATAGAGCCAAGGCAAATCTGTAATCCCAGTGTTTGGTAGGTTGATGTAGGATTGACAGCTCTAGACCAGTCAGGGCTCGAGGCCAGGGCAGCTTGTGTGACAAGGAGACACCATTTGAAACAGGCTTTGAGGCAGCAATTCCCCGACTGCTTCCAGATGTATGAAAGTTCTGTGAAATGCTTACCAGGCTTCGGAGGAGTCGGGACTACTACTCTTTATGCTAAGATTTGCCACATAAACATAAGACTAGTTCTAGGCTTTTGCTGCTGGTCACATTACGCACTTTTTTTTTTTTTTTTTTTTTTTTTTTTTTTTTGGTTTTTCGAGACGGGGTTTCTCTGTGTAACTTTGCGCCTTTCCTGGAACTCGCTTTGGAGACCAGGCTGGCCTCGAACTCACAGAGATCCGCCTGGCTCTGCCTCCCGAGTGCTGGGATTAAAGGCGTGCGCCACCACCGCCCGGCACATTACGCACTTTACAATCTGTCTTGAAGCAAAAGTACTACTCTCAATATTACCAAAAATAAAATATTTTCTTCTTTGAGTTCTTACATTTAAAGGGAGAGGAAAAGGCTCAAGTTCTAAGTTACACCTCACTATATAAGGTTTAAAAGCAAAGACTTAGGCACCAAACTTATCCACGCAGCAGTTAAAGCAACACTATTACCGCTTACCCAAAGTGCACAGCAGCATTTCACCAGCGACCGCAAGCTGGTAGCAGAGGAGGAATGCTGCTTCGGGCACAACAGCTGCTCTAGCAGGCAGCTACTTCCTGCCTCCTGTTTGGGTTGCTGTCATTTATCTTGATAGGACCATGGGCTAAGAACTGGTTCAATGTTCCCTCTTCCGGGCCTCCTACTTACCTGCCAGCCTTCTTTCCTCCTATCCTAGAGAGGGTGAATACTAAAAAAAAAAAAAAAAAAAAATCTTCAGGAGAGAGAGATGGCTCAGAGGTTAAGAGCAACTCTGTTCCTGTAGTAGATCTGGGTTGGGTTCCTAGCTCAGGACTGTGTGGAACCACTGTTCAGAGAACCTAATCCTTTTCCTTTCAGATACTGGTTGGACCCAAGCGTGCTCTTTCTGGTACTACGGACTTTATGGACTTGCTTACCCCTTCTCTAAAGTCCTCTCCTGGCCGTGACATGGCTGAGGTCTCAGTCAGCTTAACTCAAGCAGTGTGACCTTTTCTGTTTCCTTCTCCTCGTCATCTGCTGTGATTTACAATTTGCCTGGTAGTTTTCTTTTAAACCCCAAAAAAACTGTCCCCAAGTCTGAAAAACAAAATGATTTCCCAGTGACTTTTCTAGAGCTGGATGAACTCCAGCTCAGATATGGCAGACCATCAACATCTGATGTTTTCTGAGATCTAAACGAGAGCTCTTTGCACACATGGTATACCAATGAATATTCTGGCCATTTTGTATCTGGGGAACTCAGTTAGAATCAAAAAGCCTGCACAAAATGGTGTGTGAGCTGTGTTGTCAAATTCATTCACTTCCCAAATACTTCTGAAACATTGCTTACACCGGGCTGGCCTGATTCAGGGAAACAGAGAAAACTACATGAAGATACTACTCCTTAAGAGCTCACAGGCTGGAAGGAAAACAAGGACAAAAGATGAAAATAAAGCATACCATACACGTGGCGGAAAATGAGGACTGGAGTGTAAGAGGCATGGGCCTGAGGGTAGAGCTGCTCTTCGGGCTGAAGGTTTACAATCTCACAAATGTTCATGGAGGACCTGCTGGGCTAGTATGGTGACAAGCATGGAGAAAGCCCAGTGCACAAGCCAAACATGGTCCCTGCTCTTACGCCCTTACAGCCTAGTGAACACATTAACCAGGAACAGGAAGTGAAAGTCCACTGAGGTGTGCTGGGCTAAAGGCATGTGGTCCGCATTACATGAGCCACAGGATTAAACATGAAGCACTTGTTTGAAAAGTAAACAAACAACAAAAATAGCTGCAAAGCGATGGAGCCACACTACCTCCATCCTCCCCCTCAGCAAGTCCAGGCAAGCTGGAGGGGAAAACCTGGACATCCTTTGTTCTTCTGCTGCTCCTGGGGCCCAAGTTCCCAAGCTTCTTAAAAGTGACCTCACTGAGTGTGGTGACACCAAGATAAGGCAACATTTGCATGACACCGTCCTAAACTGCAGGCTTAACTGCTTCACCAAGTACTCAACCAAAGAAAGAGTGACCCTTTCCTACAAAGGCAAGAACTGACTGCAAGAACCTTGTGATGCTGGCCTTCAATGTGGCACCCACCTTGGGATTTCCAGGAGGTATTTTGATTAGATTACACTCAATTTTAACCTCAGGCATTGACTTATGATCTAGTCCTGGAGTCAGCTAAGATTCCTTGATGGCACACTGGGACACACACATAAGGAAACCAGTATTGAGGACTGCCTCTTAAAGCCTTTATCATGAGAGAACTAAAAAAGGCAAGGCACTGCCTAAAGGCATGCCCTGTGCAGTCTGGAAAGTCAGTGAAATCAAGAGGATTGGAGTGGGGAGGGCAGGAGAGAGAACAGGCCACAGATACTGCCAGAGGCCATCCTGATCGACTCCAAAGGCTATCAAAGAAGTTTGGAATTTTATTCTGGAAGCAATGATGAAGTTCTGCAAAGGTTTTAAGCACAGTAACAATAAGATCAGATTGATATTTTAAAAGTTCATCTTGTTACACATGAAAATATGCCCAATAGCCAGGCATGGTGATGGATGCCTTTAATCCCAGCACTCGAGAGGTAGAGGCAGGCAGATCTCTGAGTTTGAGGTCAGCCTGGTCTACAAATCCAGTTCCAGAACAGCCAGGACTACAGGAGAAACCTTGTCTTGAAAAGGCAGAAAAAAACAAAACAAAACAAAACCAAAACAACAACAACAAAAAGGAAAAAACAGGGGATGGGGGAGCAGGAGGAAGAGGAAGAAATACTGGCCAACAGCACTAGTCATTAGGAAACTGCAACTCAGAACCATTCTGGGACTAGGATGTAGCTCAGTGGTACAGCCCTTGTCTACATGTGCAAGGTCCTGGGTTTGATCCCCTGCACTGTAACAAAACAAAACACACGCGCACACACACAAAATAAAATACCATCTCACAGTGGAGAGTAAGTATTGGAGAAGATGTGATAAACTGGAAGTCTGATACACTCCATGGGAACACAGCTTGGCAATTCCTCCAAAGACTAAAGGTAAGAGCTAACATATGATCCACTGATTCCACTCCTACATATAAGAATGAAAACACATGTCCGTGAAGGGGAGCTGCACACAAATATTCACAGAAGCCTATTCACAATAGTCTCAAACTAGAAATCACAGAATGCCCATTAAATGAAATATTTAATTAAATAAAATATATACACAATTTTAAAAACTGAAAAAAAAAAAAAAAAAAAAAAAAAGCACTGGCAGGCACACTGCCGCACACCTTTAATCCCAGCACTTGGGAAGCAGAGAAGACAATCTCTGTGAATTCAAGGTCAGCTTGGTCTACATAGGGAGATTGAGGGTAGCCAGGGCTACACAATTAAAACCTGTCTAAACACACACACACACACACACACACACGAGAGAGAGAGAGAGAGAGAGAGAGAGAGAGAGAGAGAGAGAGAGAGAGAGAGAGAGAGAGAAGGAGGAGGAGGAGGGAGAGAAAAAGAAAGAACTGAAATGGCATGGATGAACCTTGAAATGATATAAATAGACACATAGCATAGGACATTTATGAAATGTCCATTAATAGGCAAATAAGCCCTCAAGGACAGAACGATTAGCAGTTGCCAGGTCTGGGGAGAGGTAAGAATGAAGGATGACTACTAGTGGGAACAAGATGTTTTGGTGATGAAAATGTCCTAGAGTTGATTATGATAATGGTTACACAACTCTGCAAATAGCCTACAGCCAACTGAAATGTGCACTTTAAATCTCTCAAGCAAAGGTTCACCCCGGCTACAATGTGAAGAATGGAGAGGAAGAGTTGAGAGAGGCTGCAGCAGTGAGGGAGGACAGAAGCAGGGAAGGATGCTCGTATCAGGCTAGAGGAAGGCCAGAGGCTATCTGGCCCCTCTATAAAGAGGGAGAGTAGGAAACAGATGAGGTATCTGCGATTATTATCAAGCAGCAGAAGTGTATTTAAAATCTTCTACATGTAGAGACTAACCCCACATGTACAGAAAGAGACCTGGATAAAGCATACCCAGCTGTCTGCGGGGCTGTCCTGACTATCCACTGTCACTCCTAAGCACAAAGGGCTCAAGGTACTAAAGACCTGAGCAGCTCCAAAGGCAGGCTGGAGAGAGAGGCTGGGAAGGCCATCACTTTAGGCAGTACATACCTTTCTGGGTTCTCTGTGTTCAACTGCAAGGCTGCTGAAGTGGACATCTTTCTAGGTCAGCTCAAAGGGCTAATTTTGAATATATACTACCTATCTTCCATGAAGTCCTCCCCCTCATCTCTAGCAGGAGATTGACAAGTGCTCCAAGACCCTAGGCAATGGGCCTGGACTGGTGGATGGAAGCATTATAATTGAGAAACAGAAAGCAAGCCGGGGGAGTTGTCTAAACCCTGAGGAAACCATGTCAGGTGGGAAGCACATCTACATCAACGCACTGGCAGAACCAGAGCCTGGGCTAAGTGCCTGCCCACAACCTCACACTTACCTTGTCTTCCTGACACTTTGGCCACCTCAACAGAAAACATGCTGCAGCCACAGCTTCAAGAATAATAAAATATCACTAAGAGATACCAACAAAGCCAGAAACTGCACCAGACCATTTACTTGCCTCATGGGGGAAACGAAGGTGCAGGCCCACTGGGCAGAGTCCTGGTTGGCATCCAGGTCTGCTCTCAGGACCCTTTTTCTTTTCACTCTACCAAAGCCTGAACATCTAAGAACCTGGCTGTGAGCTGTGAACTACACAGGGCAAGAGAAGCTTAGAAACTCTGGAGGCCTTAGGTCTGAGCTAGTGGAGAAATCAAAACCACCTTTCTAGGATTCCCAGAAGTCAAACCACTTTGGTTATATGCTCATCTTTTCTGATGGGGGTGGGGGGTGGGGGTTTAACCAAATAATACATATGATACAGGTTTGTTACAATTTTCAGTTCTTAAGCCTTCTGCTTCTCTGCTTACAACACTGTTCATTCACAATGTAGTCAACCATCAATGGGACATGTGCTCAACCACAAGCCAAGTGCTCTATGGATCAGAACAATCCAAGCAGGTGAAGAGCTTGATATCCCAAAGGGACGATGGCTCACCATTATCTCTAACTCCAAGATTCTAATGTGCTCAAGTGAAAAACCATTTTTACACCTGTAGAGGAATACAGTATTGAATAATGCAAAGTAAAAGTCAGAGGAGAGGCCAAATAATCTACTGCCTCTGCATGGTAAAATAATTTGAAAGATTAAAAATAAACTAAAATTTTCTGAAACTATTATCTTATTTGCTAGTTTTGAATAAGTCTTCAGTGACAAGTCAGAGACAGAAAGAATGAATCAACCCATCCCTTCTAGAAAAGTGTAATGAACAAGAGTCCACTGCAGACAGACAGTTTTTCCTACAGTGGCCACAAAGCAAGTTGAACTCATGTACAACAGACCATACAACTAGTATCATTCAAAATAAAGAGACTCCCCTCTGCCTTCTTCCAAAGTATATGATGTATATTTAACAACACAAGAGACACCACTTGAGCTTCCCCTGTAGCCAACAGGAGGAATATCCACATATAAAAATTAAGAATTTAAACTTTTAAGTCATTAATAGTCTTTAAACATAATACAGACTTAAAAAGTGTTCAACATTAACCCAAGACCCCATCCCTAAGCACAGAAATCAACTCCAAATTCAGAAGTCACAGTTGTTTGTCCCTAGAAGTCCCACAGCACTGACCTAGGTCTTCCCATCAGGCTAACAGCCAATAAAAGGTCCTAACAGAAACTCCCCAGGGAGGAATGGAAGCCATTGCTGCTACAGCTCTATCTACCCGGGAGGGCAGACGCAGCTCAGGTCAGATCTGAGATTCAGCCCCCACACTAAGGTGCTGGAAGGCTGGGCTGGCAGCGTCCCTCATCTTCCCCCTCAAAGACTGTCCAATAAGCACCTAGAAACTGACTTTTCTTGGGAAAAGGGTGCTGGCAAGAGCTGTCAGGGCCAAGGCAACAGTGAGAAGTTCAGTTCTCTGCTCTTTGGATGAACTGTGTAAAACATTTCTTTTAAAAGACACAATGTTAAAAATATTAAGAAAACGTCTACAAAATCTGGAGGGTTGCCTTTTTCTCCAAGGGTAAAGCTTGTGGGGTGGTGGGGGAGAAGACTTGAGGGCCCAGAACTGTAGCTCTGCAGCACAAGACAGAGACGCCCTTCAACACTCATCACACTCTAAATCTGCCCACTGGGACAGCAAGAGTTCAGGGTGCAGGTAGGAGGGAAGGGCGCCAACTTCTGCAAGGGAGGTTCCTACTGTGTGCCCCACCCTGTGGAATAATGTCAGATTTGAGGGCAGCTGCCAAGTCCAGAGCATCAGGACTCTGCCTCTGAACCAGAGCTACTTTCCCCGGCTGACTTCAATCTGGAGCGATGGCAAGCTATCTAGCCGACTCTTTTTCTGGCGAGACTGTTCTTTCTCCTTAATCAAAGCACCCCATGCCCTCTGAAGCTCCGAGTCATCTTCCTCAGCACCAGACGGCCTGTGATCCACTTTCTTCGTGTTCTTTTCTTTGGTCTTGGGTGTAGATCCTAAGCGAGTCCATAAACCACCTATTGGGGTGAGAAGATACCTCAGTTTGGCAATCAATGCTGAGAACCAGACAGTTCTGAGGAAGCAGGTGAACTGCCAACACCTGCCATGCAGAAAACATCGGCACAGGCACTTGCCACAGTCTGCAAGTCGACGGCTTGAGACTCAACAGGAGAGGCTCACAGCTCAAAGCAGGTGTCCTCACATCAGGCATAGGACACCTTACACTTTCCTGCCATACCTGTCCCTTTCCCAGGTGAGAGGCATCATGCCCCATGCTCATACCACCTCAGTCTGCTAGGAACCTCCAGCTCTAACATTCTGCAAACTGAAGGGTTTCTTTTTACTATGACAATTCTCAGGCTTTCAGCTATTAATTTTTAAAGAGTTTTATTGGGCTGAAGAGATAGCTCAGTGGTTAAGAGCACTCGTTCTTGCAAAGGACCTGGTTAAACATCGAACACTCACATGGCACCTTACAACAGTCCATAACTCCAGTTCCAGGGGATCCAATGCCCTCTTCCAACCTCCAAGGACAACATACATATACACAGTACACAGACAAATATGTAGGCAAAACATATAAATCAAAAAAGGAGAGCATTTTATTAAAATCTAACAATAAATAAATGTGTTTAGGATGTGGTGGTATAGATACACTATGAAGCAATTAAGTTTTATTTATGAAGAGTAAGGCAACATGGAAGATTTATTATGGAAAAATGCTACATGAAAAGAACTAGATATGGGCTAGACAGATGGCTCAGTGGTTTAAGAGCACTGGCTATTCTTCCACAGGTCCTGAGTTCAATTCCTAGCAACCACATGGTGACTCACAACCATCTGTTATGAAATCTAGTACCCTCTTCTGGTGTGTAGACAGAACACTGTATACATAATAAATAAATAAATCTTTAAAAAAAAGACAAGAACTAGATATATGTGTGGATAAAGAAACTAAATAATGTGAAACTAAAAAGAAGCAAGAGTGTTGTGGAATATTACTTTAACTATGTAAAGGTGTGTTATATTTATGCTGCGGATTATTACTTTAATTATGTAAAAGTGTTACAACTGTTCATGTTGCATTTGTTTAACAATGTCAAGATGTGTTGCTTTGCCTGCCTAGGGCACCTAATTGGTCTAATAAGAAGCTGAACAGCCAATAGCTAGGCAGTAGAGGGATAGGCAGGGCTGGTGGGCAGAGAATTAAATAGGAGGAATTTAGGCTCGGGAGAGAACAAGAGAGAGGGAGGAGAGAAAGAAAAGAAAGAAAGAAAGGAAGGAAGGAAGGAAGGAAGGAAGGAAGGAAGAGAGAGACACCCAAGGCCAGCCAGACAAAAAGTAGGACATACAGAATGAAAGAAAGGAGCTGGGCGGTGGTGGCGCACGCCTTTAATCCCAGCACTCGGGAAGCAGAGGCAGGCAGATCTTTGTGAGTTCAAGGCCAGCCTGGTCTACAGAGCGAGATCCAGGAAAGGCACAAAGCTACACAGAGAAACCCTGTCTTAAAAAAAAAAAAAAAAAAAAAAAAAAAAAACACCCAAAAAAAGAATGAAAGAAAGGTAAAAACATATATGAAGAGAAACAGGATAAAATAAGTTATAAGAGCTAGCAAGAAACATGCCTAAGCTAAGGTCAAGCATTCATAACTAATAATAAGTCTCTGTGTCATGATCTGGGAGCTGGTTAGTGGCCCAAAAGAAAGCCTGCTAAACAAAGGTGTGTACTCTTTTCTCCTTTTTGAACTCTCCTGTAGGCATGATACTGATGCCTACAAAAGCAATTATGCTAACTGGAGAGGAGTAAGCACTGACTCTACTTATGCTATAACCACTGTTCGCCACTCCTTCCCATCCAGCAGTGTGAAGTGTTGCTCACCTGATTTCCTCTCCCGAGTATCAGAGTAGAGGCCTTTAACATCTTGTCTAGGAACACCTAGCCTACTATGTACATCTGAAGAGGGCTCTCTCCGAATCACTTGATTACTACTAAAAGCCTTTTCTGGAGAATATGGTCTTTTTCCTAACCGCTGACGAATATCTGAAAAAAAGAGAAAAAGTACACCTGTAGTACTAAGCATGTGTATTTTACTGTAAGTACTAAACACCTAAGATTTTTGTCTTAGCTATAGTTTCTATTACTGTTATAAAACACCATGACCAAAAGCAACTTGGCGAAGAAAGGGTTTATGTCACTTACACTTCATTTAATAACTTATCGTCAAAAGCAGTGAGGGCAGGAACTCAAGCAAGGCAGGAACCTGGAGGCAGGAACTGATAAGGGACCACTGAGGAGTGCTATTTACTGGCTTGCTCATCCTGTTTTCTTATCCCAACTAGTAACCAGCCTAGGGGTGATACTGCCCACAGTGAGCTGGGCCCTCCTATATCAATTATTAATCAAGAAAATGCACCACAGGCTGGCCCACAAGCTAATCTGGCAGGGGCATTTCTCAGCTGAGGTTCCCTTTTCCAAAATAACTCTAATTTATTTCAGGCTGACAAAAAAACTAGTCAGCACGGCTCTCTAAGGACCTGAGCCCAGATCTCCCACAGTGAGGGCACAGGACTTGGTATGAGAAGGCTTCTAAAGCCTGTTCTGTTCATAATTGGTCTTGCTTCTCTTAGGAAAACTTAAAACTTGGGGGCAGAGGCTACCAGCTGTTTGCTTGAAGTGAAAGTTTTCTTTCGTTCTTTTTTCTTTTTTGGCAGAACCAAGCAAAACTAAATAACATACCAAATTTTTCAGTAACAAGACTGCAAGCTCCCCACAATCCTTGGACATACAAGCTGTTCTCAATAAACTTACTACATTTAACCAATAAGTATAATGAGGCTGGCAACAGGCCAAGTATAAAGGAGTCATGTCCTAAACTAAGCGTGTTTCTCCTCCAAGCCTATGTCATAGAGCTGCTGGGCCTGAGGTCTCCACTAACAAACAGCAGCTACACATTCATCGGCCTTGAGCCTTGCGTCAGCTTTTGACATCTTATGTAACCTCCCTCCCCCCAGAGCTCAGGCTGAGCCTCCTCCTTGGCTTCTTTCTCTTCCATCCTTTCTCCTCCCAAGGTCCCCTTCATAGCCCCAATCTTCACTGTCCCTGACCAAGTTCAGTCCTTGTTATCTTGTTTTTTGTGCCCACTATATTCTATTCCTCCAAAGTCATCTTTTTAAAATAAGAATCAGATTATTCCCCACCTCAAAAGATAGTTTACCAACTGCACTCTATTCCCTCCCAAGACCAGGATCTAAAGCTGTTTTCTCCAAAACCCTTCACCAGTTCTCTCGGCAGATCTACGGCAAATGCTGCAGCCCGCCCCCAGAGACCTGCACATGCTAGGCTATTAGCCACAAGCACACCCACATACTGTTCTATCAGGGTTTACTCACTTATACAGTCTAGTTCACACTCAATCATGCATCTAACCATGCAACTTAACTTTAATGGTTTGGAGTATAAAGTATACCAGGGAAATTATATTATTTATTATTTAATATCATCTATTATTTCAGACAAAAATACTAAAAGCTAGTTTTGTCAAAAATTTGGTTTTATTTTCTCATGAATCTAATGCCTAGCTAAAGATTTAGATACAACAAGAACAATTTAATCAGTTTAGAAGAGCCTATTCTGAGCCCACCTGCTCTCAGGTGCTCAGAGTGTGTTATACCTTTGAGGGAAAAGGTATCCTGGCAATCAGAAGCCTATGAATACCACAAAGTCACACAGCACAACAAGCCTCACACAAGAGATTTATTGGGAAAGACACAGGATGATGGCTGCCTCTGCTTTAGAGGGAAGCAGCAAAGAACTGAGCAGGAGGCAGGTTTATACAGGGTTTCTTGTGGGGATGGAACTTTCCAGGGTGGCCTGATCTTGGGCTTTTTAATCTCTCTATGATAGAGCTTGGCCACCTGATCTCAAGAGGCAGGAAACAGCCAATACAGCTGTTGTAGTCTAGTGGCCAGGCCTGGTCACTGGAGATGCTTACAAGAAGCAGTCAGGAGCACAAGGAAGAAGAACAGTACCTGGTTTAGTACTGCCAACCGCTGGCCGTGGACACGAGTGCTGACGCTTTTCATCTAAGAGGTGTCGAACATCTGAAAATTTCTCAGGCGGCAATTTGTTACCAATTCGGTTTTTTATATTGCTTGTGGATATACTATCTGCCCTCATAGAGTTCCTGTAAGGGAGGGAAAAAAAAAGAGGGGAGAACACAAGAAACCAACTTCAACTGTGAGACAGGACACAAGCAAAGTCTCCTACTTCAGAGAAACTCAATCTCAGAGGACCACTATTCACTAGCTGGCTTAGAACCAGGATTAACATGCTATGAAGAGATGGTGATGGCAGCTGGCTGTTGACTTTCACAGGGTGGTTTCCATGTGATGCCTGTACACTTTATCACAGAACATATAACTGATGGTCACCTTCTCCAAGGGCAAACAACATTAAACAGATGCTTGCAAAGAGGCTGGAACTCTGCTCACCCAGTGCAATCTGGATGTAGTCCAGCCACAGTAAATCTATAATCCCCTTCTTTAAACACGATACTTCTCTGTCTACAGACCATCCTACTATGAGAGAGAGCATTACTCTGCTACAATTCTCCATTAGCTCTGTGGAAACTAAACACAAAGATGTGAACAAGGCCACACAAATCAACAGTAACAGCCCCTTTCCTTCCTATCTGAGAGTACCTCAGAAAGCCAAGGCCTGGTGGTACAGGCTGCAGGCTCAGCTACTTGGGAGACTAAGAATAATCACAGATTCATATCCTGCCTATGTTACAGAGCACATTTAAATCCAGTCTACTTGGTTTAGTGAGACCCTGTCTCAAAATTTCACTAATTTTAAATAAAATCTGTATTTATTGAATCTGCTCATTAAAATAACTATGTCCTCTGTTCCAGAGGTCCACAAAAATTAGGAAGAACAATAGTTTCTAAACCTGGTAAGAGTATGAGTCACAGGCAGTAATGTGGGTAAAGCCCTAGGAAGGAAATTCTGCAATACATACAGATTTTTAAAAACCCGTCTCTCTCTCTCTCTCTCTCTCTCTCTCTCTCTCTCTCTCTCTCTTTCTTTCCTTTTCTCTCTCTCTCTCTCTCTCTCTCTCTCTCTCTCTCTCTCTCTCTCTTTCTTGTTTTTTGTTTTTCGAGACAGGGTTTCTCTGTGTAGCTTTGCGCCTTTCCTAGAACTCATTCTGTAGACCAGGCTGGCCTCGAACTCACAAGAGATCCACCTGGCTCTGCCTCCTGAGTGCTGGGATTAAAGGCGTGTGCCACCACCGCCCGGCAATTTTTTAATTTTTTCAAGACAGGGTTTCTCTGTGTAGTCCAAGCTGTCCTGGAACTTGCTCTGAAAACCAGGCTGCCCTTGAACTCACAGAGATCTGCCTGCCTCTGACTCCCAAGTGCTGGGATTAAAGGCATGTGCTACCACCACCCAGCAACACATGTATTTTAAATACATGTATGATTTTTAAACACGTGTACTATTTTATATAGCAAGACAGACTTTGAAGAATCTATTTAGCTAGGGCAATATTAACAGAAACATAAGTAACTATCAAAGGGGATTAGGTGTGGCGGTGTATACGTGTAATCCCAGTCAGTACTCAGGAGGCTGGGGAAGAGAATGCAAACACAAAGTCAGCCTGGGCTATCCACTGAAACTCAATCTCAAAAAATCAAAACTAAATAGCAAGATAGCTCTGAGGTAAGGGTACTTGCTTCCGAGTCTGACCATTTCTGTTCAATGTTCAGGACCTGCATAGTAGGAGAAGAGAACCAGCTCCACAAGTTGTCCTATGACATGCACTGTGGCATACTCATGCATGAGAAAATTTAAAGAAATCTTTTCTAAGTAATTAAATAAGTGATGATAGTGTTAAACAATGCACTACATATGGTGGAAAAATAACAGATGTCTGGGAATACAAGTGGTTTTCACTTTCTATACTGTCTATGCAACAACTATTGTTTATATAGAGGAAAAAATTGGGTGCTTCCATTAAACACCTACAAAGAAATGAAAATTAGGGTAAAAATTATTGCAACATGAAGAGGGATTGCATCTGTAATTACCACTTAAAAATCAAATTATAAGGGCTGGAGAGATGGCTCAGCAGTTAAGAGGACTGGTTGCTCTTCCAAAGGACCCGGGTTTGAATGTCAGCACTCACATGGCAGCCAACACCCATCTGTAACTCTAGTTCCAGGGGATCTGACAGCTTTTTCTGACCTTTGAGAGCACTGAATGAATATGGTACACAGACATTCATGAAGGCAAAACACTCATACATTCAAAATCAAAATAAAAATAAAAAGAATCAAATTACAGAGTAGGAATATATCTCAGTAGGAGAGTGCTTTGCCTAATGCCTAATATGTACACAAGAGGTCCTCTGTTCAATCATCAATATTTCCAAAATACATAAATGAGTAAATTTAATTTAAAGTTAACATTGAATAGCCGGGTGGTGGTGGCGCACGCCTTTAATCCCAGCACTCGGGAGGCAGAGGCAGGCGGATCTCTGTGAGTTCGAGGCCAGCCTGGGTTACAGCGCGAGATCCAGGAAAGGCGCAAAGCTACACAGAGAAACCCTGTCTCAAAAAACCAAAAAAAAAAAAAAAAAAAGTTAACATTGAATAAAAAGAGGAAAAGTATTAGCTGGACTGTGGTGGCACACGCCTTTAATTCCAGAACTTGGGAGGCAGAGGCAGGAGGATCTTGAGTTAGAGGCCAGCCTGGTCTACAGGGAGAGTTCCAGGACAGCCAAGGCTACACAGAGAAACCCTGTCTCGAAAAATAAAAAAAATGAAGAAGAAGAAGAAGAAGAAGAAGAAGAAGAAGAAGAAGAAGAAGAAGAAGAAGAAGAAGAAGAAGAAGAAGAAGAAGAAGAAAAGTATTTACCTAATACTTTTCAACTGAGATTCCACTTCATCTGCATACATGGTCATTTTCATGCTTTTCTTTGGGGAAGGAGTGGAAATCATCTTCAGTTCTAGATCATAGTCCATCTCATCTGAGTCTGAGCTGCTCGCACTGGACCGCCTAGACACACTCCGCTCCCGGGACTGCCTGAGAGCTGGGAACTCCTCATGGTACTCCACCACGACCCTGTCATCTGCATCCATGTCTTGGTCCTCCTCTTCCTCTTCCTCTTCTTCAATGGGTTCCTCAGGAACATTCACTAATCCTGAAGAAATTTAACCCAAAGGTTAGATAGAACTAAACTTAAGGCTAAACTAACAAGCATGACTTCTACTCTACACTGGGAGAAGGAAAGAATGCCACCTCTGAGACTGTACTGGAGGATTTACTATCTGTAAAAGTATCAAACTGGACGCCATTCTTATTCTTACTTACTTATCCAAGAGACTGGATAAAATATGAATGTAGTAGCATAAATTCATGTACAATATGAGCAATCTTCATTATTTGTTCTATATTTATAAATCTGTCAGATTTATTTGTGGCTCCTAAATCAACACTCAAGGTACTGTCAAGAACATCTGTAGACATGTGCAGATTGACAGAACTAAGTGGCCAGATGTGCTTCTTCCTGTCCAAGGCAACAGCACCAACATCTTTTTATTCATGATTCATACTGTAAGCAAGGTCCTTTTCAATTTATTAACTGCTGTGTTTTCACTTTTTGTGCTTTCTCTTGATAATTTCATTGCTTAAAAATGGTCCCTAAGCTGGGTGTGGTGGTCTATGCCTTTGATCTCAGCATTGAGAGGCAAAGGCAGGTGGATCTCAGAGAGCTCAAGGCCAGTCTGGTCTACAATACAATGTGTTCCAGACACAAGGGCTACAGAGAGAGACTCTGTCTCACAAAAAAGAAAAAGAAAAGAAGAAGAAAAAAAAAAGTCCCAAGCTGGGCAGTGGTGGTGCACGCCTTTAATCCCAGCACTTAGGAGGCAGAGGCAGGCAGATTTCTGTGAGTTCAAAGCCAGCCTGGTCTACAAAGCGAGTTCCAGGGCAGACTCCAAAGCTACACAGAGAAACTCTGTCTCGAAAAACCAAACCAAACCAAACCAAACCAAACCAAAAAAAAAAAAAAAAAAGGTCCCATTAAATACAGTGAGTGATGAACTGTTATTTGTTGTAGAAGAATGGTGGTGCACCTCATGAAGAAAACACCTACACTAAATAAGCCTTGTTCAGGCACGAGTTACAGTGCTGTCAGCTGTTAAATCAATGCCAATTAATTAATAGTGCACATTCAATCAGCTGTATTTAAATTTAAAAAAAATGGGCACAGCAAGGTTACATACTGATCAGTTGATGAAAATAGTGTGACCAGATGTTTTATATGGTTCAATATTCACTAATTCAATGTTCAGTGTAACTTCATGCCACATGAGAACCCTCAACAATAAAAATCAACTAACTCTAAAGCTTATAGGCTATGTATGAGGCTAGAAAGATGGCTCAGGGGTTAAGAGTGTATACTCCTCTTGCAGAGAACTAGAGTTTGGTTCCCAGAGTAAATGGCTTGTAACTCCAGCTCCAAGGGAATCTGACACCCTCTCCTGGCCTCCACAGGTACTATACAAACCAACACACCCCATCCACATATAATTAAAAATAAAATCTTTTTCAAAATAAGTATGAATAATGCTTGTGGTAAGTGGGAAAAACAAATACAAAGTATACTTACAATAATTATAATTTTATGAAAATAGACCAATGTGATAAAGGTAAAATAAAATCAGTTACTGTATTAGAATACTTGAATTAGGGGCAATTTACTTCCTAATTTCTTTAATACGAGCATAAAGGATAGGTTACAACAACATTTTTGTTTGTTTTTCAAGATAGGGTTTCTTTGTGTAGCCCTGGCTGTCTTAGAACTAGCTCTGTAGACCAGGCTGGCCTGGAACTCACAGAAGTCCACTGGCCTCTGCCTCCCGAGTACTAGGATTAAAGTCATGTGGCACATGCCCAGCTGACAATATCTTAGAGTAACTGAAACTGGCAAAGTATAACAGAAACTATGCTTATTACTAATACACAGATTTCAAAGGTACAATTCTGTACACATCCATTAACTAAAAGTGCATACACTCTATTTCTTCCTGTCTCATCCCAATGACACCTGTGCATGTCTGTATGCTGACTTACCTAGTTCTATAAAACATGCAGAAGACTGTACACATAAGTTCAAAATAAAAGTGAATCTTTTAGAAAGCATAATGAAAATGGATCCTTTATAATAAACACACAAGAAAGAAAGAAAAAAACCTCAAGTCATAATGTCTCATGTTTTAGTAGCATTCATATATAAAAACCAATGTGTAAAAACACTCAACACAGCAGTCTACTCACATTATCGGAAAAGGAAACAAAATCAGTCCATTCGATAAGGTTTTTTTCATGCAGTTGTTGATATTAATAGTAGAAAAATTAAGTTCCTAAGAAATTTTTATTTTCATTTTCTCTCTGTAACATATGGTCCCTTTTGTTAAAACAGTTTTATAAAATCATGTGACCTCTTTTATGGGCAATTTAAAATTAACCATGACTTGACTTACTTTCCTCTATGTTGGCAGAGGGTGAGGGCAAAGAAAAGAGGATAAGAAAGTTTGGAACCTTAAAAGACTGTGTTAAGAATAAAAATACGATTTCGAGAGCCAAACATGTGTTTGTCTACCCAAGAGCTGAGCAGGCAACTACCGGAATGTCGGTGTTTATACGACGTCAAGCCAACGTCATCCCCAATCAGGGCTCTCTTCTTGATCACATCCCGCTGAATGCGACGGGAATGATATCTTCGCTTCCTGCAATATTGCCAAAATAAGCACACCATCAGAAACCAATAAGAAGGATGCTGAAATCCACTTCATTCCAGCTCCACAGTGGCACAGCGTTAGGTGCCGAAGCAGTGTTCTCCTATCATTTGCCACAGCTAAGAATCATGAGTTCTTCCTCACTTTCCTTCAGTCCACAGGAGGTTCTGACATTCTGCCACAGAACACCAACTGAAGGATGAAAAACAGCTGAAGTGGTGTTCAAATGACTGTATTTTTAAGCCATGCTTGGTGGCACATGCCTGCAATCGCAGCACTTGGGAAGGCAGAGGCAAGAGGATCAGGAGTCCAAGATCCTGCCTGGCTACATAAGAGTTTGAGACTTGCCTGGACTACATGAGACACTCTTTCAAAAAACTAAAACCAGAACAAAATATTTTGCAATGGTGACCAGTGAAGATAGACTTAAAACTGACAAAGTTCTGAGAATAAAAGACTCTTGAATGCCTAACCACAAATGAGACATCTGTATCATCCCTTCTAAGTCTCAAGAAACACTGTAGAAGAAGGCCCGAAAGAATGTAAGAGCTGGAGAAGAGAGAAATGGGGTGGAACACTGACTTCCTGGTTATAGCATGATTGCCACACTCTTAAACTCACAGCTATGATGGCCTGCACAAAACCTATACAAGATTGAGTTCATCAACCCCTGTTATGGAATGGGGAGGGACTCACAGGACCCATGATTTATACACAGTTTGTAGTTGAGTTGGGAGGGAGAGATTTTCTTCAGTGACTACTAGTAGGCACCCATGCTCCTGTAAAAAGGAAACTCATGGGTCACTCACACACCAAAGAGAGACATCAAAGTAGAAGGGAGCTAGTTGGAAGAGGTGTGGGTAGGGATAGGGGAGGCCAAGATCAAACTATCAAAATGCATTATATACCTGTATGTGAATATGATAATGAAGCCTATTATGTGCAATTAATATATGCTAATAAAAACATTAAGATAAACAACCATCATATTTTAAGGTTTTAGACTCACCATGAATTGCTAAGAATTCCTTTCATGCCTCCATAATTTGGATTTCCATATTTCATATAATATTGACTTCTTCTGGCTGCTCCAAGTTCCTTTTTGTCATCTGAAAGTTAATAGAATAGTTATTTAGGGTTTCCTGTGAGTGTGAAGATAATATTGACTGCTTGATTTTGAATTTGTTTTTGAAGCTGGGTCCCCCGTAGTCCAGGTTGGCCTTAAATTTACAATATAGCAATAAAAAGAGCATATAATTCATCTATCTATGCTACTTTTGGATATATGTCAAAAGGAGCCAAAATTAGTATATTGTAGGGATATCTGCATATCCAGTTATCAAAATATTATATGCAATGGTCTATTCCATCACCCCCAAAAGACCCTGCAATAACCTCATGGCACTGTCCCAAATTTGGGACATATAGTGGCATCTTCTACTGAGACAAGATACCAGCAGGCACATTTCTTCTGCTGGAATATAGGGCTCAGAAATTATGTGGAGACATGCTATCGAAGCACCTTCATCTGGCACTATGGTAGACACGGGTGGCAACCCTGACATAACCATCACCAATGGGTTCCCACCATGTGCCCCTATTCCCTAGGAAGCTGTGGCAGTACATTAGCACTACAGGATTCATCTATCTGTTATTTGGGCACAGACTACCGGCTTGCTTGTTAGCAATAGTGAAGGTGAGCATCCTCTATGAAAAGATGCATGAGAACTTTGTGAAACAGGTAGACATGGTAGACAATGGGCTCTCCCAGTGGAAGAAAGGGGAGCCTCAGTATTCATTGGCTACTATACTGAGCGCCTGCCTAGGTTGCTCAACTTCATCTCACCTGAAACTAGCCCAAAGACACCAAGGTAAAGGTGACACACACACAGCTTTGGTTCAGGAGGAGTTTCTGTAAGATCTGACTTCTACCAGCACAGCTGGCCTAGGCCTTGATGGAAGACTCCCTGGTCCAGCGATTCCAGGCAGATTCAAATGGGGTGATAGTGGAACTGAAAGAACACCTTTGCTCCTGGCCATCACTGTTATCTATGCTGACCAGGATGGACACAGTGGTAAACTCAGTGTGTGCCCAAGGAATCGCATTCATTTCAAAGCCAGCTCTTTTGTCACAGACATGGTAATATCTTTGGGATAAAGTCCTGGATCAGATCAGTGTACCCCTAACTAAATCTTCATCTACAGCAGCACTTCAATGGTGGGTTCCGCATGTTAGAGGGTACCCTGAGCATTGTCAATGCCATTCTGGTCCCATGCCCAGCACCTATGGCTCCTACAAATTTTCTACTTTTATTAATAAAACTCCCTTCTCTTAAAAACAAAGTCTCAATATAGTGGCTCGCACATTTTTTTTTTTTGGTTTTTCAAGACAGGGTTTCTCTGTGTAGCTTTGCGCCTTTCCTGGGACTCACTTGGTAGCCCAGGCTGGCCTCGAACTCACAGAGATCCGCCTGGCTCTGCCTCCCGAGTGCTGGGATTAAAGGCGTGTGCCACCACCGCCCGGCTCGCACATTTAATCACAGCACTGAGGAGGCAGAGACAGGTGGATACCTTAGTTCCAGGCTAGCATGGTTTTACAGAGTGAGTTCCCAGACAGCCAGGGCTACAATGAGAAACCCTGTTTTGAAAACAAAACTAAAGGTTCACCAAGTATCCTATTTTTTTTCTATGTGGAATTACGGAGTTAAGTAAAAGGGGAACTATTAGGGAGGTAAAAAGAGGAAGGGAAGGAATATATGAACAGGAAGTAAAAAGAATGAATGGGGTCCAAGTACATTACAAGCATGTATGGGAATGTAACAATAAAATTAATCACTACATAATAAATACACACTAACAAATACGTTTTGTACAGAAATTCCTTCTCAATCAGTAAGGCCAGTTTTCATAAAGTGTTTATTTAAAGGGAGTTTTGGGATTATCTGAGCTAACTTCTGGTCAATAGGAAACGTTTCACTCAGTAATTCATCATTCTGACCAAAAATCAATATCAAATTTACCTTTTGTAGCAAATCTCATGAATAGCCTATTTCCTTTAGCAAGTTTGTTAGCTGGACGAAGATCATTTCTTAACAGAGACTCTTCTTCTACCTGAGACAATGTGTCCAACTTAAGAAAAAGAAAACATTTTCAATGTAAAAATCAAAGCATATTTCACACTTTTTCTGTGGTTACCATTAAGAAAGCATCCTAGGCTGGGCGGCGGTGGTGCACACCTTTAGTCCTAGCACTCGGGAGGCAGAGCCAGGCGGATCTCTGTGAGTTTGAGGCCAGCCTGGTCTACAGAGTGACAACCAGGACAGGCACCAAAACTACACAGAGAAACCCTGTCTTGAACCTCCCCCCACCCCACAAAAAAAAGCATTCTATCTGTTATACCCATCACAATTATAGTACTCATTCCTCTGGAGACCTCTGAAGCCAGATTTTCTTTGACTACCTTGCCTAAAAGAGTAACCTCCATCATTTTCTTTCAGTATAAACATTTTTTAAAATTATGTTTTTACATCTGTGTAGGGTTATGTGCACATGAGTGCAGTTGTCTTCAGAGGGCAGAACAGTTTTGGATGCCCTATAGGGGGCAGTTGTGAGCCATCCCACATGGGTGCTGGAAATCGAACTCAGGTCTTCTGCAAGCATAGTATACACCATCTCTGAAGTCCTAATTCTCCCTCCTTTTACCCTTTACTGTCTTCATCCTGCTCATGGTGTCTCCTAACAGCATGTAACTGTGTATCTGTCTTCCCTTTTAGCATATAGCCTCCAGTGGGGTGATAGTATGTTCCCAGAATTTGGTACACAGTAAACACTTACCATTTCAATATTTAAACTCGAAATGAATATGCTTAGCTAGGGACACAGATCAGAGGCACAGCACTTGCCTAGCATGTCCAAGGCCCTAGGTTTGCCCTAGCACCACACACAAAATGTTTCAAATGAATGCACTCCAAGATTTCTAACAAACCCTAGTTGCCTTTCCATATTTTATTGGTTAAGTAACACTTCAAAGTATTTCTTTTTTTTTTTTTTTTTTTTTTTTTTTTCTTTTTTTTGGTTTTTCGAGACAGGGTTTCTCTGTGTAGCTTTGCGCCTTTCCTGGAACTCACTTGGTAGCCCAGGCTGGCCTTGAACTCACAGAGATCCGCCTGGCTCTGCCTCCCGGGTGCTGGGACAAAGTATTTCTTAATAAACCCATTTTCTCTTCTGCACAAGTATAAACACTATTCTAAGATTCTAAGATGAACTGTTACATCCACATAAACTAAAAGGCTAAGAGTCTAGTGCACCTTCAGAAGGTTCCATGGTAAAAGCTAGACAAAGAACACAGCTTACTAAGTCTTTAAAGCCTTACATTAAAAAGACAGTAAGCATTTTTTTTGCAATAAAATCTTGCAGATTATCTTTGCCCTAATACTAACCTCTACATCACTTGAATTCTCATCTTCAACTTCTCCTTCTTCAGTCTCGTCGTCATCTGAACTGTCTTCCTGCTTGTCTAAAATGGAGTGTGAGGGACAAGAGGAACCTTAATGTAACCCCATCTCATAAAATTTAAAAAACCCAGTGTTTTCTATTCCTATTGATTGATGACCCAAGCATCATAATTCACCTCAGAAACATCTGGAAATGCAGTGTTCATAACACTCTACTCAAAGGCCCAGAACTGGTCAGTGTACAGAATGAACAAGGGCCCCTTTGTGTGTAGTTACCTTTCTTGTTCTTCTCAGACAACTTGTCTTCACTGGTATCTCTGCTTCTTATCTTATCCTGAGCTGGCAGAGAGCTCATATTGATGAGAGCTCGTGTGGCTGTCATCTCATCCAGCCAAACCACATTACCTAAAATAAAACATCACACATTCAAATCTAAGGTTTTTGAGAGCGGATTTGGCATCAGGTTCATTGTCACAGTCTCACTGGCCACAGACAGCTGTCAGTCAAAGTAAAAACCAGCTCATGAAAAAGTATGAAAGTGATGGAAAAATGCTTGATGAACATCGTTTAAAGCTACACTCCCAAGCGCATTTCCACAAAATAACTGTTCTATACATATGAACTGCTTGAAGCCAAATGTGGCAACACACACTTACAATCCCAACACATGGCAGGCAGAGGCTAGAGGATTTCCAGTGCTAGACCAGGCTGAGCTAGAGTAAGACCTACCCCCCAGAAAACGCTCCTGAAACACAGTGACTGCTATGTAAGTATTATCAGGTTAGCTTTTTTTCTCCTAGACTAAGAACAGAAGTTAAAAATAAACAGTTTGGGCCATAATTATTCACTATCAAAGATAGCAAGGACTCTTTTAAAATCATAAATAAAAGCATACTAAACAGAAAACGTGGGTATACTTACAGGAGGTATCATCCAACCACTCGATGTGAGCTGGAGGATATTCTTTAAAATAGGAAAAGATATCCTGGGTACTCATCTCATCTACTCCACAAATGTAGATGGTCTCCAGTCTCACTTTGGGGATTGCTACAAAAAAAAAAAGAAAAACAGACAGAATTTTCCTACCTGCTATGTACAGCTTGCCAGCACTTCTTTACAATGGTTTAGATAACGGGTCTAGAAGAGGAAGAAGCTAAAGCAATAATTATTTCAAAAGAACACCAAACAAGATAGTAAGGTCAACTGCACTAATGTTTACCATTAAACTACATTAAGCAAATGATGTGATTCAGAATAGCCACCCAGGGCTCAAACTGAGGAAATAAAGCAATGGTAAATATATGGCAGTTCTCCCTACTGGTCATGGAACTTGACAAGCTGATTCTGAAATTATACATATATACTGAAGAGAAATGTCCAACGGTGGATATAACACTTCAAGAAGAGCCTCCACCTTCAGATACAGCAAAGCATGAAAACTAAAGAAACTATAACGGGATGCTAGAGTCCAGAAACCTTACAAATCACTGGGCATGATGGTGCCTACAATCCCAGTATTTGGGATACTAAGGCAGAAGGACTGCCACAAGTTCCATGCCAGATGGGCTATAGTTTGTTACAGGCCATCCTGGGCTCAAGTATTAGAGTCTGTCTCAAACCTTACTGTACACACACACACACACACACACACACACACACACACACACACACACACAAAAGATATCCTACAAATCAGTAAAACAACAACTCAGATGGAGGTTGGTGGCACATGCCTTTAATCCCAGCACTTGGGAGGCAGAGGCAGAGGCAGGCGGATCTCTGTGAGTTAAGGCCAGCCTGGTCTAAAGAGCTAGTTCCAAGATAGCTAAGGCTACACAGAGAAATTCTATCTCAAAAGAAAACAACAACAACAACAAAACCCCGAACACTTCAAAACAAAAATGGCAAAAGATGTAAACAATTTACACAGATGGAAATATAAATGGCAGATAAAAATATTAAGAGAGGGTTGACTTCCTACTAATCTGGAAAATTCATATTAAGAGGATACTAAACTGGGTGTAGTAGTGCATACCTTTAATCCCAGCATTCAGGAGGCAGGCAGGCAGATCACTGTGAGTTCCAGGCCAGCCAGGGCCACATGAGACCCAGTCTAAAACCAATCAAAAAAGATACCAGCTTCCAGTGAGCAGTTTTGTCTTTTGCATCAAACACTGGCCACATGGGAGGAGTTGCTCCTCCTGCTAGTGGAAGCATGGACAAGGATAGTCCAAAGGATAAGGGAATATAGTCTAGCACATATCCTAAAAACCTAATTCTCAGCATCAACCCTAACACACACGAGATCATATCACACACAGAAATGTTCAGGGCAGCACTACTTCTAACAATCCAGCAGCCCTAAGGGTAATAAGTTACAGCTTACCCAATATTAAGTAAATCATGGTTTACCCAAACAAAACTACAGAACATAACATAGTAAGAAAGCAACAGAGAGAGAGAGAGAGAGAGAGAGAGAGAGAAATTATATACCAGATTATTTTAAAACACTGAGTGAAAAAAAAAGTTATCAAAAATTCCTGGGGCCAGAGAGATGGCTCAACAGTTAAAGCTCTGGCTGCAACACAAATGTGAGGAGCTGAGTTCCACCCCAGCCCCACGTAAGAAGGTAGCTAGAGCCGGGCGGTGGTGGCGCACGCCTTTAATCCCAGCACTCGGGAGGCAGAGCCAGGCGGATCTCCGTGAGTTCGAGGCCAGCCTGGTCTCCAAAGTGAGTTCCAGGAAAGGCGCAAAGCTACACAGAGAAACCCTGTCTCGAAAAACCAAACCAAAAAAAAAAAAAAAAAAGAAGGTAGCTAGGATGGCATGCATATGTAACCCCAGCCTCTACAGATGGGAAGCAGAGACAGAGCTCATGGGTCAGCTGGCCTAGAGTACACAGCACAGCAGAGTGAGACCCTCCCTCAACAAGGTGGAAGGTAAGAAACGACTCCTGAAAGTTGTTTTCTCACCTCTACCAGCATGCACACACCCTCAAATAAATACATCATTACACAACATCGAACACCTTAATAGCTATAGAAAAAAGCCTGGTCCCATTCACAATGCATTGAAAACAGTTATTACATCTGGTGAGAAAAAAAGTTGACAGCCATGGTCAAAAAGAACCTGAGTGTTTCCATGAAACACTTGCAAAATATGTAAATATGTCATTAAGAATTTGTAAATCCCTGTATATCTACTACCTGGTTTTGTTTAATCCCTCAAGAAATCTCAAGCAGAGACTAGTAGAAAAGGGCCTGTGGACCAGGTGTAGTGAGTGAGGAGGAAGTGGGGGCAGGAAGGATGCAGATGAACAAAGCTTGACATGTATATGTATGGAAATGACAGAATCCTCTCAATCTGTATAAGTAGCATTAATTTTTTTAAAGTTCATGCAAATGAAACATCTCATACAAAACTAGGGCTTCATAACCTCCCTTTCTCTTCTGAAGCCAGTCTGACAAGAATTCAGTTCCCATTACTCCAAGCATGTTTTCCTTTTAACTGATAACATGAAAACAGGGCATGCTGACTCATGCCTGTAATCCTAGCACTCAAAGGCTGAAGCAGGAAGATCACCAAGAATGCAAAGCTAACCTGGGTTACACAGTGAGTTTCAGAAAGCCTGGCCTACAGGGTAAGGCTCTGTCTCAAAAACAAAAAGTAAAGCAAACACCTATTATTTCTTTCTGGTATAAATGCCATTCCTTTAGACATCTGAAATATGTATTACATAATTGTTTCAATAATTAGCCTCCCATGCAATTCCACAACCAGATCTTCTTATTCCAAACTACAACTACAACCTTTCCCGACCCCTCTATTCTTCCTATTCTCCCAGTCTGGTAACCAGCATTTGACGACCTACTCCTCTTGAACTCATGTATTTTAGATTTTATACATGGAATCATGTGCTACTGTTCATCTGTGTCAAGCTTAATTTTACTTATCATAATGATCTCTACTTCTATCACAATGACAGGGTTTTGCTTTTTTATAACTGAAAAGCATTTCATGTGAATATGTACTACATTTTCTTAATCTAGTCATCAGCTTGTGAGGGAGATGCAGCTCAGAGATAGGGTTTACTTAGCATGTGTATGGCCTCAGCTTTAATCCCTACCACCACAAATGGACATTTAACTTGATTCCCTGTCTTGGATATGCGAATGTGTTACAATAAGTAACAAAATGCACAGGTGTACAGATGTCTCTTTACATATTGATTTTCTTTGGAAATACGCTCAGAAGTGGCTTTGAAAGTTATACCCACCTATGGTTCCAGCCTTTCTCTGCCACACAGTCTCACTATGTGGACCAAACTTCTGTCCAGGGGGATTACATGCCTGTGGATTGTAGAGTCAGGTGTTTTCCTTCCCCTCCACTGCACTGTATTTGGAGAGTCAGCCCACTGTGGCAGCTGCAGGAATTTAACCAACGTCTCCTTCCCTGCCATGACACACTGTGACCCTCTGAAGTCCTGGGCCAGAGTCAACTCTTCCTTCCTTCAGCGGGTCTGTCGGGCATCTTGTCACAGCAGTAAGAAAAGTACCCAGCTGCCTTCCTCCACACCCTACTAGTGCTTGTTATCAACTCACAATGCATTCGGTCACGCCCACTCTCCTGACACTGCAACAGATTCTTCATCTACAGAGTTCAGGTTGGAGAGCCATGGAATCAAGTTACAAAACAAAACAGAACAAAAAAATCACACATCAAAACTCTCATCATGCATTAACAAAGCTTATAGCTTTGTGCTGTGGTACATTCATAGTTATCCTGGGGCACATGTGGCCCACAGAGCACAGGTTAGGCATACCTGAAAAAGACTTAGAGGATGGAGAGATGGCTCAGTGGTTAGGAAAACTTGTTGCTCTTGCAGAAGACCCAGATTTGGTTCCTAGTACCTACAGGTACTCTGAGGGTCTGCATGCACATGGCACACAGACATACATGCAAGCAAAACACCCATACACATAAGAGTAAAAAAAAAAAAAACGCTTTAAAAGACTTGTAAAATCTTAAACAAATTACCAGAAGAAAACAGAAGGAAAGCTTCAGGTCACTGGACTAGGCAGGGATTCCTTGGATAAGATCCCCAAAGCACAGGAAACAAAGACAAAACTAAACAGATGAATTACACCAAACTCAAACTTCTTCACAGTAAAGGAAATAATCATCAGAATGAAAAGATAACCTATAAAATGGGAGAATATATTTGGAAATTATACCTCCAACAAGAAATTAACATCTGGACTATATAAGGTACTTCAAAACTCCAACAGCAAAAGAAAAAAATATCCAATTGAAAAATGTGAAAAATGGGCAATACCGTTGGTGACGCAAGTCTTTAATCCCAGTACTCGGGAAGCAGAAGCAGGCAGATCTCTGTGAGTTCAAGGCCAGCCTGGTCTACAGAGCAAGAGCCAGGACAGGCACCAAAGCTACACAGAGAAACCCTGTCTCCAAAAAAAAAAAAAAAAAAAAAATTGCCTTTAGCCGGGTGATGGTGGCGCACACCTTTAATCCCAGTACTTGGGAGGCAGAGCCTGGTGGATATCTGGAAGTGTGAGGCCAGCCTGGTCTACAGAGTGAGATTCAGTACAGGCACCAAAACTACACAGAGAAATTTTGTCTCTATACATTTGTAATTCTAGCATTGGAAAGACAGAGGCAGTAAGATTGCCCTGAGTTTTAGGACACCCTGTTGTACAAGGTGAGTCCCAGTCAGGTCTACATAGCAAGAAAAACATTCTGTAAAACAGTAACAACAACAAAAACAGTATTTTCTTGACTCTTGGCAGTGCAGGTTCATGAGGACAGAGATACCCTCAGGATTTTTTAATCACAGCAAATATTCACTGGTGAAAGTAGTGTGACAGTGAGCAGAGACTCGTGCAGAAAGGAAAACACTGATTTAGCTCAGTGGTTACTGTGCTTCTCAGCTCCTTGAACTAAAAGCTATGGTAAGTCAAGAGATGGTTCCACAGACTGAAACAAAAAACAAGACAGAGCCAGGCATGGCGGCACATGCTTTTAATCCC